GAGTTAACAAACTCATTGACTTTTTATACACAGACACTAATTGCAATTTAAAAAGCCACAGGTGTGGGAAATAACCTTTAATTGACATTTTAACCTGTGTGTGTCACCTTGTGTGTCTGTAACAAGGTCAAACATTGAAGGGTATGTAAACTTTTGATGAGGGCCATTTGGGTGATTTCTGTTATCTTTATGATTTAAAAAGGAGCCAAACAATTATGTGATAATAAATGGCTTCATGTGATCACTATCCTTCAATAAAACCCTTTTTTTACATTATCAGTCATATTTTCAAATTCATTGCCAAAATTACTGATGGATTTATACTCAGCAGACATTAAATGATTGAAATGAGTTAATGTCTTCCACTAAGCCTGATTATAGTTGAAGCGGAGTGAAGAATAGATATTAGAAGTTAGATAGTTCCACTTTGTATTCCTTTTTTTCTAAAGCGTTCTCCTAAATAATTGTATAGCCCTGCTCTGCACTAGTTCCATAATGGCCTTCGTTAAAATCAGTGCCTAAAACTGCACCATGTATTTAAGATGTGGCCTTACAATTGATTTACAATTGTCAGGGTCTTACCTGGGGTGGAGTCCGAAGTGCAGAAATATGTGCTCACCCTTGCAGATAAACACAGTCCAAGGTAACCAGGTAAGGAGCCACCTGGGCTGTGAATTTGTGCATGGGGGCTTTGCAGGAAAAGTGCTCCAATTTGCAGTACAGGCAAGGACACAAGACGAAGAATAGTCGAGGAATAGCCGAAATCAGAGTAAACGAGGAGATAAGCCAAGGTCAGAAGATGGGGTCAGTCTGGAGAAAGCACAATCAGGAGACAAAATAACAGGAACTAAATATGTCTACCGAAATCAAAGAACTGACCCTGTCCTTTGGGTTAGGCAGATTTAAATACCTAGTTAATGAGCAATCTGCCTCAGGTGGACATAGTGTGCAGGAGCAACGTCAGGAAACGTCCAGCCCCTAGTGCTGCAGACAAGGCAAGGTATAACAGGACAAGAACCACACTAAATGAATAGGTTCTGCTATGGCTTAGAGGCAGGATAGTAGGCCCAGGACACTGAAAAATCCAGGTTCAGTTCCTCTGTTTGGCACCTGTGGGGTGGCTGCGCCTAGCTGTCTGGATGGCACAGGGATTACCCTGACAATAATAAGGTAAGCTTTAAACATTTTTTAACTGTGAATGAATACCTCTCTTTATACATGACCATACCTTACTGGTCTTAGGACCTGCACATTGTTACTTAGTCCATTATTGATATGTTTTTCAATTACTGAGGAGGACTTGGTCGGAGGATCTCAATCTATATTACACCTCATCTAGAACTTGGCTGCCCAGTTCCCTAATTTGTCTAATTTCCTCAAAAGTCAAGTGATATTCTGCTCACACTATATTACCTTACCTAGTTTTGTGTTATCTGCAAACACTGAAACATGACTTTCAATGTCTGAAAATGATTTATAAACAGATTAAAGGGAAGTGGATCTAGAACAGAACCGTGAGGCCCTCCACTTACAATTTGTGTCAAATTTGAACATTTTCAGTTTAAACTGCTCTCCAAAAACAAAAATGTTCATCTAAGGTTAACTAGAAAAAGACACCTGAGGTGTCTAAAAATACCAGGAGCTAGCCTAGAATATGGCTACAAATACGTGAATGACTATAAAAAAATAAATAAAAAAGAGATGTACTAATAGAAGTGCTGTACCTTTAAAGGGAATCTGGATGTCAGACAAAAACAGTATGAATAGATACATGAATGAATAAATAAGTAGATAAATAAAAATGTGAAAAAGTAAAAAATAGAGATAAAATAAAAAAATAAAAATAAGAACAGAAAAATAAATAAGTAAAAAATGGTAAAGATAAAATATATCTGGAAATGTGCAGTGCAAGTGTCTTAATTACTGCTATAAAGCAGAATAACTGGCGCCTGTACCAAGTGATATATGATATACTTAGTATCGAGTTTGGATATACATATAAAAAATGTATCGTATTATAGCAATACAGTATGAGAAATATTGTTACACAATGTAATCAGCAGCAGATGTAAAGCAATGGTTCTCAATCTGGATAGAAATAAAAGCCAATTTATTTGGACAAATAATGGTTAAAATATGGTTAAAGTTATTCTTTTATAGGGTTTTAGTGGATCCCTATTTTTTCCAGTTTCTGAGCAGCCTAACGCTAGTCCTACTCCCTCATTTCTGGACAACACACTAGGTGTACCAGTATCAATTACCTTGTTCATCTAAGGTGCCAACCCCGTCCTCAAGTAACCCATAACAGTCCAGAATTTAGGGATTACCTTGTTGTGTCTAAAGTGTTTTTTTTTCTCTACACAACTGGCAGTGGCTTCTCCAGCATTCATATTTAGGGGGGGGCACATGGGGGGCTAGTGACAAAAGTGGGGGGGGGACAATTATAAAACGTATGTGTGTATATATATATATATATATATACACACACACACATACACACACACACACACACCCCTTACCCCATGGACAACATGTATACGTTTACAACATTCAGATTTTGTGAAATATGCTAAAGTTTACCTACTATGTAACAATATCTCAAGGTGCCATAATGATTACAAAACTATAGTTTTTTTAAAAAATAGTATTTATTTGCAAAATAATATATAACATGCAATTTGGAATTTAACTTAACCTTTTTTTATATAAATATTTCACAAATAAAGTAAATGGTAACTTAACAGTGTATTCTCTACATTCACAGTATAAGCATTTTTAAGTGACAGAGTCCCTTTAACAGACACTATAGAAATGTGCTTTTTAAAAGGCTAATTCCAAGTGAACTTGTCTTGTAAGAAGAGCAGATTTAGCTCTACTTCCATGAACAGCTAAAACTGGTTGGCCCTTTATAATGCACGTTTTAGTATATAGATTTAATATTAATAATAACTTAAAATCACCTTTAAATTCACTATTAATCTACTAAATTGTAAACATCGTAAAATGAAGTGCAACAACTATTTTACTCCTAAAGCATATACAAAAATAGTTATATATACAGTCATGGGAAAAAGAAGGAATACCCTAGCATTCTATAGTTTTACATATCAGGACATAACAATAATCTGTTCCTTATGTAAATACAGCCTCAGATGGACAACAACACATGACATATTACACGGTGTCATGATTTATTTAAATAAAAATGAAGCCATGTGTGAAAAGCTAAGTACATGTATTGCGTCCATAGGAATTAAGAGGCTAAGTAGCAGACAGGTGCTGCTAATCAATTGCCCTTGATTAATTGATCATCAGTAAGTGTGACCACACCCAGGCGCGTTCAGGTATGTGTTAACACAATGCCGAGTAGGAAATACATCAGCAATGATCTTAGAGAAGCAATTGTTGCAGCCCATCAAACTGGGAAGGGTTATAAGGCCATTTTCTAAAATTTAGCCCATCATTCTACAGTGAGAAAGTTTGTTCAAATGTGCAAAACCTTCAGGACAGTTGCCAATCTTCCCAGGAGTGGATGTCCTAATAAATTTAGCCTGAGGTCAAAATCGAAGTTTTACAGCATGTTAAACCTAATTAAATTGCTGCGGCGGGGCCTTAAGAGAGCTGCGCATGAACAAATGTCGGAAAAACCTCAATGAATTGAAACAATGGTGTAAAGAAGAGTGGGAAAAAAATTCCTCCACAATAATATGAGAGACTGATAAAGTCATCCAGAAATCGATTATTTCAAGTTATTGCTGCTATTGACTCACAAGATGGACTTTTTCACACATGGCGTCTCTAATTTAGCTTTATGTGTTGTTCATCTGAGCATATATTTACCTAATTCTAAGACATGTTAGGTAACGGACGATTGTAATTATGTCCTGATATGTAAAACCATAGAATTCACACGGGGTGAATTTTTTTCCAATGAGTTTTTACAATATATATTTGACTCAGTTTTTGTCTTTTGCAGCATATAGAAGACACACAGGTGTACCAATCAGGCACTAGCTAGCAACCAATGCACTGTAACAATTAAATTGAACCAGCAAAGGGAAAAAATATGTATGACTCAATGTTGGTCTTTTATTGCTTCTTCTATTAAAAAAAATCCTGAGTCAGGAATGCATGTTCCTTTAAATAATAGAGCCATATAGGCAGGCACAGGGGGCTCAATAAGACACTTATTTAAAATATTACCCTATTAGTATAAGTTTGAATTGTAGTTACAGACACTGAAGGATAGAGGGGTGAGTGTAAATTCCTGAAAGAATTGGATCCTACAAGTTATTTTTAACACAGATTTGTCTTCCTGCTTCTGTATTTCCCGAGGGGAGGGGGACGGGGGACTTCAATACGCACTAGGACAGGGAGTATTCCCTCCAACCAACTAGAATAGATTTGTATGCACTTCTGTTAATGGGTATGTTTTAGTTTTTCTTCCCCCACCCCTCTCTAACTATCCCAAACCTACCTTACAAAAAATTTAAATCTATTTTACCCTAGCGGTCATGCTAGGCTGACATCTGACACTACCTGTTTAAAGCTACCGCTCTAACTTAGGGGTAATCCTGTTATTCTGTTTGTCCTTATTGCCAAAGTCTTGAAATAATGGAAGACGAGACCAATTTGGCTCACTTCATTAAGCAAATGGACCTTCAAGTCTCACTATGTAATTTACTAAAAATAATTTCTTTTAATAATTTCTTTTAATAAATATGTAAGTGCAACATCACAACAAACAAAAATGCAATACTATCCTTTTACTGGAAACTGTAATAAAATTTGTACTTAAAATGTAGTCATTCCCACTAATATAGGCTTAAGGGTGAGTTTTTATGGATTGATGCAAACCTGCTAACAACAATATCCATATTTATTTGGGATGCAAGTCTGGTCTCAATTGCCAATGTAGCAAGATCTGAAAGCCTTTCCTCAGTCATTGTTGTGCGTAGGAATGACTTGATTAATTTTAGTGCACAAAAGCTTCTTTCGCATCATGCACTGCTTACTGGCAAAACACAAGCTATTTTACAAAGCCGATAGAGCTCAAGGAATGGAATAGAGTAAGGCTCCAGAAAGTTAGTGAACTCGAGAATTGTGTCCACCTCAATGGCATCTGATGACTTTTTTCTTTGTAAGGTTAGCATTGCCTGCTTCAGCTCAATCTCCATGTTTTCCATGTTGCAGGAGTAGAAATTGGCCATTGGTTGCAATTTCTTAAAATTAAGAAAAGAATCCGATCGAGGATTCAGAGACTGTACACCTTCCATGATTTCCAGAGAATCCCTTGAGAAGCGAGATTTTAGTTCCGAAATTATTCTGTCAAGAACAACATACATGAACTTTTTAATGAAATCCTCTTTTCTGAGCAGTTGTTGTCGATGACCTACAGTTTCCAAAATGATGCTATTTCTCAAGTGGAAAGGAGGCCGGCGATCTCGCTTTTTGGAAGGCGGTTCGATATACTCGTCAGTTGGTGCTGGTATTCCACACTTCATGCTCAGCTGGATTGTTTCTGCCCACACATGTCCCATTGTTACAGAATTAGCAGAAGCTTCAGGTTCACTCTCTGGATTGCGCACTTCTTCAAGCTCTTCTATAATTGTTCGTACAAGAAGGACAGCTGATGCCAAGTCAAGATCTCTGGCTTGTAACATGTTAGAGAGCATCTGGGTCCTTTCTAGTATGTTCTCAAAAAACACCAGTGCCAGAATGAAGCCAAAATCAATGAACTGGTGAACTGATTTCGCCTCAACTGCTCTCTCAGTATGGTTTCCTTCTGCTAAAATCTTGAGGGTTTCCAACAGAGGGTCAAGTGTTTTCAGAACAGCATTGCAGGCTGCATGTTGGCATGTCCACCTTGTGTCACTTAATTGCTTAAGCTGAATCACTGATTTGCTTGACATTTCTTGTTGCACATTAGTAAACACTGAATGAACTACAGAGGTACTGCAGAACACATCCAGCTTTTCAAGTTTCACAAAAAATTCATTTGCTGCCTGTACATTTTTACCAGTGTCCACGATGACCAGGTTGAGACGGTGACTCATACAATGAATGTATAGTGCACAAGGCACCTCCTTTTTAATGCGTGCTTGAACGCCATTAAGACGGCCACTCATTACAGAGGCTCCATCATAGCCTTGTCCAACACAATAATTTTTATCAATGCCTAGAGATGTTAGGACATGGAATATATATCCTGTTAGAGACTCGGCGTCAAGGCTATCTGCTCGGTAGAATTTTTAGAACCGTTCATGGACCATCTGTTTGTGAAAGAATCGGACTACGACAGACAGTTGTTCTGTTTTACTCAGATCCTTAGTTTCACCTGCAATGATGGAAAAGGGACTTGCTTTAATGCTCTGTGCAATGTCTTCTCTAACAAGGGCAGCCATAATTGACAGAAGTTCATTTTGGATAGATGGATGTAAATATCTTGCATTTCTTGGTCCTCTAATTTTTTTCCTGACAATGCTGACTTTTTCTGCAATTAAATAAAGAATTTCACGTGCATTTCCATGACTGACATCATCTGAGTTGCACCGATGTTCTCGCTGGGCAATTTTGGTCTTGGCTGTTAGCAACAAAACTTGTGCTATTGTTTTTATGTAATGTATATTTTCATTCACCTCTCTTGTATGTGCTTTACTTAGATCCTTCATGATTGATGTATCCTGGCTAACACTCTTTTTGAAATCCTCCCATCTGACATAGGCATCTTTGTGTGAAGCAGACCTCTCATGCTGTAGTATTCCTTTACCTGCTACAATTGCATTTTTCCAGTTTTTGTACCCTATGTTGATAAATGGTACTTTATAAAAAAAACGGCATGGGAAACAGTACGCTGCATCCTTGGAAATAGAATACTCCAGCCATTCAAATTACTGAAACCACTGTGGTCTGAATGACCTGAAGCGTGCTCCCATTTGTTTCTGTGGGTATTTTTTCAATACAGGCTGTCTTGGCCCTTCAGTAGCACACTCTGGTCCCTGTATTGTTGTTTTTTCAGTGCTAGCAGATGTTTGTGCACTCTGTGGTGGTTCAACTTCACTGAAATCCTCTTCACGAGTACTGTGTTGGATATTGCTTTGTGAGGGGGTGCTTGGCTCTTCAATCCGGAATGAAGGTTCATCATCATCTGATATTATTTCAGCTGTGTCATATTCAACATCATCCTGATCCTTCTCAAACGGTTCACCCTCCTCAAAGGATGAAAATGTACCAGGCTGACTTTTTTCTTGTTGCGGCTTTTTTGCCATATCAGCCTTCTGGGCCTTAACATTCACCACAGAATAAAATGAACGGATATCCATTTTTGAATTATCTAAGAAGTTAAAAAAAAAAAAATGCATGTTGTTCTTATGGGACACTTAACATTACTCAATAAAATATTTAATAAAACCAAAGTTATTACTATGTGCTTTGATAAATGTAGATACAAAACCAATCATACTGTCTCATCACTAGCAATTAAAGTAACTACATGAATTAGAAAGAACATTATCACACACCGTAATAAATGTTCATTATATTAAAACGTCACCATGACAAAAATACATTCTTTATATATTCTTTGATAAGAACAATGAAAAAAATATAATGGCACAATACTGTGAGCATAGTAGGACACATTGTGTATGTATATATTTACATGTACACACACATATCAGATACCTATGTATACACATATGTACATATACACACACACACATATGTACATATAGCATTAGCTCTGTGCAAACCAAACAGAAGAAACAGGCTTAACAGTAAATTGCTAATTTCTTAGCAAAATTGGGATGATCTATATCTATAAATCTCTATGTTGGAGAATTTAGCAATTTGCCACTATGCAATATTTAGTCTATAAATCCCATACCTTTACCTTGTGTACAAGATATATTTCTAGGTGCAATGGTGACGTCTTACCATTTCTATATGCAAGGATGATGGGATATATAATCTATGGCTCTAGATTAAAGGACCACTATAGTGCCAGGAAAACATACTCGGAGCCGCGCGCATTCAGCCGGTCGCATAGGAAAGCATTACAATGCTTTCCTATGGACGCTTGCGTGCTCTCACTGTGATTTTCACAGTGAGAAGCACGCAAGCGCCTCTAGCGGCTGTCAATGAGACAGCCGCTAGAGGATTTGGAGGAAGGATTAACCCATTTATAAACATAGCAGTTTCTCTGAAACTGCTATGTTTATAAAAAAAAAGGGTTAATCCTAGAGGTACCTGGCACCCAGACCACTTCATTAAGCTGAAGTGGTCTGGGTGCCTAGAGTGGTCCTTTAAATTATCTTTACAATTACATGTGTCTATTCTTTATGGACAAAAAAAACAAGCATGGCATTGGCAGATGATGCCATTTTACTACTGTTTTCACACCTAGATTCGATTATTCCAGGTTTGAATATTCACTGACATGTTAGCATTTATATCTTGGTAACTCTAAAGATCATGTGCACCCAAACTCCAAACACAGAACTTGCCTCGCAACCAGATTTCAATTTTAAATAGAAAAACAAAACATATAAAAATAAAAATACTATTCTAATGTTCATTCCCTCATACCTCTTAAATTGATGACAAGGTTGACCAAATAAGCAGCTGTCAGGACTTTTTCCTCTTGTCTGTGCTGTGGCTTCAAAGTCAGGGCCCATTTTAATGATAAATTTACACTGCACGTTAAATCATCATTATGCCAGGCCGCCCATAGCACTGCACGTTAAATCATCATTATGCCAGGCCGCCCAAAGCACTGCACGTTAAATCATCATTATGCCAGGCCGCCCATAGCACTGCACGTTAAATCATCCTTATGCCAGGCCGCCCAAAGCACTGCACCTTAAATCATCCTTATGCCAGGCAGCCCATAGCACTGCACGTTAAAGCATCATTATGCCAGGCCGCCCATAGCACTGCACTATTATTTTTTCTGAATAGGGAAATTGCATTTTAAACAAAATTGAAAAATACACTGTTCATATACTGGACACAAATAAAAAAGGACATAGGGCTTTATATTTGCTCCTCATTCATAACCTGCCTGCTGTTTGGGGACAGAGAGGGCAACGCCACACCGTCGTCAAGCTGTTTGGGGACATAGATAGCACCGGCAAACTGAGGGCAGAGATGACTCTCAATCCCATTTGCATTCCCCCCCATCAACTAGAGTAGTGTGGTCTGCATGGGGGAGACACAGTAACCTGATTAAATGACTTGAAGTGTTTTGTGACGAAGTGCCCTTCGCCACTTGTGCCTGGAGGGGACTACAGGCTAGCCTCCTGCCTTCCGACTATGGCCCATGTGCTGATAGTGGTATTTTCCCCTGCAGAAAGGTTTATTTGTGTATTTCTGCCGGGGCATTCTGGACTTTCAGTGTGGCAGTAGTGCCATCCCAGATAGCTATGCCATGGAGCCCATTCGTATAATGAAAGACTATGGAAAAGACTTTGGCTCCATGGCGATTGAATGGTATGTATGTGATCTGAGCGCCATTCAATAATAATGTGCGCTCAGATCTAAGCTATCTGGGGATATGTTGCATGTATATGTTTTATGTAGTAATTGTAACATTAATTTTATGTCTTTTTGCTGCCATGTGTTCAATGGAGTTTTGCCTCTGTCCTTGGAGATAATTGGATTACTTCCCAATTGTCTCCAGGATAGAAGACTCTGTGGAACTGGTTGTGGGCAGAAAAGCCATGCTTCATTTGTTCACAAAGGACTTTCGACTAACTTTTGAACTAATGGAAGGATTTGCATGATTTTTGGTTATGTTTATATTTAAAGTATGCTGATTCTGAATATGTTTGTTTTATGTGAATATGGTGCATATTTTTAAAGTTACAGTATATGTATAAAAAGTGTATTTTTCCTGCCTGTGATAAATTACATTAACCCATTGTGTTCAGTAATTATATCACAGGCAGAGGGGAGGGATTGTATGTTGGTGCTGGGTGTGTTTTACGGTTTTCCTGTAAACGATTGGTTGTATTGTGTCCCACCCTGTGGGATGTCTCCTTGCATGGGGACTTGCATAAAAGCCGGTGTGGTCATTAAAGCCAGATCATCTTGTACCTTTCTTGAAGCCTTGGCTCATGTTTGGGGGATTGGAGAACTACACTCTGGGGATTGCTATAATCACTATACTCCCCAGGTTATATTCACTAAGCTCTGCTTGTTCCTGTTCCTGCTCTCTGGGGAAAGAGAGGTTCACCCACTGGAAGCTGGATCCTGGCCTTGGGTCCAGGGTGGGTGGAGACCGCGAAACCCCGGCGCAGCTGCATCGCTGGAAGTGGGGTCTGCAGTGCTGATGGTGTCGGTTGGAGTGCTTGGAGTCCTCAGTGAGCACTAGGAGCATCGATTGGCGGAGGTACTCAGACGGAGTGCCAGCGTTCCGTCACATGTTTAAAAATGGATGATGGGCATTTTCAAAACATAAATCTCATCGCTACTGTTTTTTTTTTTTTTTTTTAAATAATGCTCATCATCCATTTTTTACCTCTCCAAGTCATTCAGTCATACTAGCATTATTCACCCCAAATCATTCAGTGCACACTCACTTCAACAATTGATGTAGGTGTGGGATAATGTTAATGTGACTGAATGACTTGAAGAGTTAAAAATGGATGATGGTCATTATTATAAAAACCTGTCAGTTTAAACCTTTCATTATTCAATACCCCAGATATTTCTGGTTTGAAACAGTTCACACCAATAAAGAAAATGGCTACTATCCCAATATCCTACCAAAGAAAATGGCTACTATCCCATTATCCCAACAAAGTAAATGGCTACTATCCCAATATCCCAACAAAGAAAATGGCTACTATCCCAATATCCTACCAAAGTAAATGGCTACTAACCCATTATCCCAACAAAGAAAATGGCTACTATCCCATTATCCCAACAAAGTAAATGGCTACTAACCCATTATCCCAACAAAGTAAATGGCTACTATCCCAATATCCTACCAAAGAAAATGGCTACTATCCCAATATCCTACCAAAGAAAATGGCTACTATCCCAATATCCTACCAAAGAAAATGGCTACTATCCCATTATCCTACCAAAGAAAATGGCTACTATCCCATTATCCTACCAAAGAAAATGGCTACTATCCCAATATCCCAACAAAGAAAATGGCTACTATCCCATTATCCCAACAAAGAAAATGGCTACTATCCCATTATCCCAACAAAGAAAATGGCTACTATCCCATTATCCCAACAAAGAAAATGGCTACTAACCCAATATCCTACCAAAGAAAATGGCTACTATCCCATTATCCCAACAAAGAAAATGGCTACTATCCCAATATCCTACCAAAGAAAATGGCTACTATCCCAATATCCTACCAAAGAAAATGGCTACTATCCCAATATCCTACCAAAGAAAATGGCTACTATCCCAATATCCCAACAAAGAAAATGGCTACTAACCCAATATCCTACCAAAGAAAATGGCTACTATCCCATTATCCCAACAAAGAAAATGGCTACTATCCCAATATCCCAACAAAGAAAATGGCTACTATCCCAATATCCTACCAAAGAAAATGGCTACTATCCCAATATCCTACCAAAGAAAATGGCTACTATCCCAATATCCTACCAAAGAAAATGGCTACTATCCCAATATCCTACCAAAGAAAATGGCTACTATCCCAATATCCTACCAAAGAAAATGGCTACTATCCCAATATCCTACCAAAGAAAATGGCTATCCCAACAAAGAAAATGGCTACTAACCCAATATCCTACCAAAGAAAATGGCTACTATCCCAATATCCTACCAAAGAAAATGGCTACTAACCCAATATCCTACCAAAGAAAATGGCTACTATCCCATTATCCCAACAAAGAAAATGGCTACTATCCCAATATCCTACCAAAGAAAATGGCTACTATCCCAATATCCTACCAAAGAAAATGGCTATTATTACATTATCCCAACAAAGTAAATGGCTACTAACCCAATATCCTACCAAAGAAAATGGCTACTATCCCATTATCCCAACAAAGAAAATGGCTACTATCCCAATATCCTACCAAAGAAAATGGCTACTATCCCAATATCCTACCAAAGAAAATGGCTACTATCCCAATATCCTACCAAAGAAAATGGCTACTATCCCATTATCCCAACAAAGAAAATGGCTACTAACCCAATATCCTACCAAAGAAAATGGCTACTATCCCATTATCCTACCAAAGAAAATGGCTACTAACCCATTATCCTACCAAAGAAAATGGCTACTATCCCAATATCCTACCAAAGAAAATGGCTACTATCCCATTATCCTACCAAAGAAAATGGCTACTATCCCAATATCCTACCAAAGAAAATGGCTACTAACCCATTATCCTACCAAAGAAAATGGCTACTATCCCAATATCCTACCAAAGAAAATGGCTACTATCCCAATATCCTACCAAAGAAAATGGCTACTATCCCAATATCCTACCAAAGAAAATGGCTACTAACCCAATATCCTACCAAAGAAAATGGCTATTATTACATTATCCCAACAAAGTAAATGGCTACTATCCCAATATCCTACCAAAGAAAATGGCTACTAACCCATTATCCCAACAAAGTAAATGGCTACTAACCCATTATCCTACCAAAGAAAATGGCTACTATCCCAATATCCTACCAAAGAAAATGGCTACTATCCCATTATCCCAACAAAGTAAATGGCTGCTGCGCAAGCTGCAATAGACTGCCATGTCAATGTAAAATTCATTATATGCAGTCTACCATGACAATATAAAACTTATCTCTTCATGAATGAATGAATAAGATTAATAATCTAAAGAGATGCGCTTTATATTGTCATAGCAGACTGCATGTTATGAATTTTACATTGTCATTCTAATGCAGCTTTGCAACATACATTGTGCACAGTAGCCATTTTCTTTATTGATGTGAACAGTTTCATGACGTTATTCGGCATGTGCTAAAACCTTAATAAAATAACTCTGTGACACCATTTCTGTTGGAGTATAAAGTCCACAGCTTTATTAAAAATTTTAATTCAACAATTTAACAATTTAGGGTCATTGTCACAAGTATTAATTATGTCCGACCTTCTTGCCCAATACCCCCGACAATGACCCTACCAAATAACATAATAAAACATTCCAATAATACATAACGTTTAACCCATGGCCTACCAAAGAGGCCCCATAACCATATGTTTAACTGTAGGGGTGTACCCAGACACCCCTACACCCCCAGATTCGTAGCCACCAACGAGCTAGAACCTACAAACCATTTTCCACTCCGGCATAGTCCAGCCTAGACCTTGGCCTGCCCACTTCCTATTCCACCTAAATCCTCTTTAACCCAGGCCCTATTCCGCCACAGCACATGACTTGACCCCCTCAAGAACATGAGCGACCCCCACCACACAAAAACAGGGCCTGTGCAATACCATCCTGAAAACCAAAATTAAGTAAATCCGATCCCACGTCGGATAGATGAACCCCATCCTTCCTAAAATACCCGGGCAGCATACATTCCAACTCCTTGTGACGCACAACTACGCCACCCATCCGCCTCACGAAAACCGCCATGGTCTTATTGACCTTACCCCTACTTCGCGCTATCGCAGCCGAATCCCTGGCGTGTCTCCAATTAAAGCGAGGCACCATTTCGGACCAGACCACTACCACGCCAGGAACCAACTTACGTAGCCGATCCAGATCCCTCTTCATCCTCCTTAACAGTTCCCGCTGCGGGATCAAGCCTAAATCATTCCCCCCACCATGAACCAGAATTACGTTAGGGACTGACCCCCATGCCAGCCTATTGAACAGTTCCTTACTGATGCTCTGCCAACCGAAACCCCGGAAACCCAACCAAGTGAGAACCACCGCCTCCACCGGGAAGCCCAGTTGTGCTCCGTCTCTTCTCATCGCGGCCCTCCTCCGCGCCCAATAAACGTAGGAATGTCCGATCAGCCATACCAAACGACCTAAAAGAAATAGAACAGTGAACAGCAGAGCCCTTAACAAACAACGCCCCAGTCCCCTTTTACACCAACTTGTCCGGTCTAACGTATGAGCGGAACCGAATGGACTCCCATCTTCCTATCTGTTTGATCCGCTCGTCTCCCAGACCTAACCGAGCCGCCTCCGTTGCGGCCCCAATTCTAAACGAATGTGTCCCGAAATGCATGGGTTCCAGGCCCAGCTTACCCAATCCTGCACGAAATATCTTAACGAACTGAAAACGGGACAAAGCCTTACCGTCAGCATGGATGAAGAAACAGCCTTCCTTCTCGGGGCGGACTTCCAAGAATTTGGCGCCACAAGCCACTGGGCAAACCCTAGACCCTGGCAATTTGAACAATGTTACCAAGCTTCCTTTGCCCCATTTCGACGGCACCCGACTTGTGTGTCACCATCCTCTCCGCCCCTTGTTCTTTATCTCCCCCGTCCTCTGGCGACCATACCCTACCAAACTGCGGGGTTGACCCCTCATCTCCCGCCCAGGAGTTAATGAAAGATTTTAAGCAACCCAATAAGGACCCAGTGTGTGGTGTACTTCGTGACTCACCACCAGTGCCCCCGACCGTGGCCGGCCGCAGGGTTGCTGTCCTTCCGTCCGCCATTTCAGGCTCCGGAGACTCCTGTTGCCGCCGACTCCTTTCCGCCTGGCCTCTCCTCGGGACCGTAGGTGTCACGCTCCTCGACCTGCCGGGAAAATATAACCTGGGTAGTCTGTCCACGTGTTGTCCTACCCGCCTTTCCTCCCGGCGTTCCTTCCTCCTGTCACTATCGCTACGCTGTCTCGCTGCCTGACCGTCCCGGCCGTAAGACCTCCTCTGCTGGTCCTTTAAACTCCCGCCCGATGAACTGGAAGCACTGCGCCTACATCTTAGCCTCGGTTCCCTGGTGCATGACCTCTGCCTGCTCCGGTGGCTCCTGGACTGGCTCCTGTCCCTGCTCCTCCCCTGCTCTGCTGACCTCCTCTGGGTGCTGCTCCTGTCCCCTTCACTGCGCCGCTCGCTACTCACTCCTCGCCTCCTGGCCCAGCTCCTGTCCTGCTGCGCCTGAGAGCGGCCCATAGGGGGCTCCCGCTCGCCTCTGACCCCTCTGCATGTCTCCTTCCTCCTCAGCCCCTGCGGCTCCTCCATGTCCCTGCAACCTCCTGTCGCTGACCTGCCGTCTCCTCTCCTCTCATCCCGGCAACTTCCTGAGGGCAGGGATTCACCCCCCCTCGCAATTCCCGTCTGCCCGGAGAGGCTGCTGCCCCTGTCACCGCTACCTGTCCTGGACCTATTCCCTGTGAGGGTTAAGCCCGTCCCTGACCTGCCATCTGCCTCTCCACCTGTCACCTGAGGGGGCGCTGGCGTCGAGCTGTCCTCAAGCACCCCATCCTCCTGCCCCTCAGTATCGCCACTAGGGGCGGACTCACCGGGGCGCTGAAGTTCCGGACCATCACGGCCCTGCTGCCTGGCTGCCATCCCAGCTGTACAGGTCCTTCTGCCTCCCGCCCGCAGACTTGCGGCGGGGCATTCTCCCACCGGCGGGCTTCCGACTAGCGCCCGCCCGGCGCACTCCGACTCTTGAGGCCCGTCCTTCCGCCTGGGCCGCCTTTTCCCCACTTTGCGGCGCTGGACTCCTCCTCCTCCTCGCCGCTGGCGGTGCTCCCAGGCTGAGTCGTTGGGGCGGACGTGCCCTCCTGGTCGGCCTCTTCTCCGACACCGCAGTGGGGGGAGCAGACGTGCTCGGGACCCCCAGTTGATCCTGCAGCCACGCCATCCCCTTCTCTTCCACCATTCTTCTCACACCAGCCAAGATTTATTCGGCAGAAGCCATCCCTGCAAGAAAAAGAACAGACCACACAGACCTGACAAGTATCAAGTAAGTGTGATTTTGATTAAAAAGGCCAGCTCACCAAATTGGCTGTTATTTAAACCCTTATTCTCCTCCCCCCCTGTCCAGACATTACTTTTCCACACCCCTTGACCTTAACTTCACCTGCCAACTCTCTGGCCCTGTCAAGGCCCACTCCCCTCCTGTGTTGCTCCATGGGCTTCAAATCAGAAATACCTGGGTTATTAAATAATTAATAATAAAAGCCCCTGGACTTTTTGCCTCCAAGCTACGCCCAGTAAGAGCTAGACACGATTAAAGTACTATACTGTAAAAATGATGTGTGTCACGGCAAGAGCTGCAAATAAAAGTGTTTTAACTCCTAAACTGCAGGGGCATGATTTACACACTAAAACCTCTTCAGTAAATTTAAAGGACCACTATGGGCACCCAGACCACTTCAGCTCAGTGAAGTGATTTGGGTGCCAGCCAGGTCCCTTAGTTTTAAACCTGCAGCTGAAAACGTAGCAGTTTCAGAGAAACTGCTATGTTTACACTGCAGGGTTAATCCAGCCTCTAGTGGCTGTCTCCCTGATGGAGTAAATCGTACTTATTCTGCGATTTACACGGAGTGCTTTCCTATGCAGATCTTATTTTACGCTCGACAACCTCACGGAGTCCAGCGTGAAATAAGATCCGCATAGGAAAGCATTCGGCTACACTGTGGATCTGACGTTGGCGAGGAAGGAGAGGTCACCAGCACCGAGGGAGCCCAGCGCTGGATTAAGGTAAGTGGCTGAAAGGGTTTTAACCCCTTCAGCAACGAGGGAGGGGGGCACTCCAAGAGCCTATAGTGCCAGGAAAACGGGTTTGTTTTCTTGGCACTATAGGATCCCTTTAAATGTGTGCCCTGACCTGCCTATTACCTGTATAAAGGTTGGTGAATCCATTACCAACTAAAACTAAAATGACTTGTTTCATTGTTA